AAAAAAAAAAAAAAAAAAAAAAAAGGGGGGGGGGGGGGGGGACGCAGCATTGAGGTAGTGGAATGACGAAATAGGAGAGAATTGCGTCGAAACTGACGACGAGAGGGGGCGGGGTGGGGAGCCAGCGCTGGGGGACTCGAACCCCCTGCCTCCCTTTCCCTCTGTATACACCACAGATACTATTCCAAGCTAGAGGACATAGGTGTAGACTTGATACATATCAAGATACCTATTCGATGACGGGACGCACCCCGTCATCAGAGACCCGACATAAACAAATCGAGGACGCGTCCCGTCATCAGAGACCCAACATAAACAAATCGAGGACGCGTCCCGTCATTATAGACCCGCAGCACGGAAGCTAGTGGGCGGAGACACGCACACAAATGTTGCGTCTTCGTATATGTAGAGGATGGGGGAAAAAAATAACGACTTATCTCCGCTCCCACCGGTGCGATTTTCACGGAACTTTCGTCGTGCTTCGATGGACATGTTTCTCAGAGATCTGAGTATTCTTCTTACATTTGAATTTTCCCTTCTACATCCATTTAAAATGGTCAGGGCGGATTGCTCAGATGGAACACGATGGAAAATCTGAGATGTAAATCAAAGCATATGAAACAAATACTCAGTGGCTGCCTTGCTCGTCTTACCAGGAATTCCATATTGAGATTGTTTGTTGTATTTGAATTGGATACTGTTTCCATTATGGAATTAACTTCATAGCAGCTACATGCATGTGGGTACGGATCATCGGATTCGGACTCTCCATTACGACTGGAATGCAATCTTGCTTCCTGGGCCATGGCATTCGCATTCTAGATGTTTGGTCGACCCCAACGGCAACTATGTATCGGTGCACATACCCAGGTCGCATTTCTCACGATTCTCCGTGACGTGAAGGCCTTTTCTTCCCGGAAGACAATGCGTGCAATGTACTGTATCGTATCCAAGGTTCTGGGTGTCCTTGTGAGACGAGCCTAACATGGCAGGTGTGGGCTCTTCGGGGCAAGGACGAGACCCCCTAATGCGAATGCCGTACGGAGGAGGCGGAGAAAATGACTGCGTCTCTTCAAGCTCTCCCAGTGAAGCGAATCCCAAGGGAATCCTACTGAGGGGGGCGGAGGCGGAGGGGGGGAGGAGAGGGAGGGGGGGGGGGGGGGGCTGTAATCCCCCTCCAAGACTCTTGGCCTTTTCGTTTATGAGACTAAATAATCTTCTCCCTCGGCCACACCTGCCATGGCCTTGGAAAAATTCTTTCCACGTTGAGCAATCTTCAGTCTCGCGGGTCTTTTGCATGACGTCATGATAAACCTCATTATCATAGTCCTTTAAAGCGTCTTCTGAAGAAGAAAGATTCGGCGTTTCTTTTGAAGGAGGACGTGCCGCCCGACACGAAGTCCTCTCGATCCTGCGTTCCCACTCCCGATTGCATTCCTGCAATGACCGACTTCTTTCCCCCGGCCGTGAGAGGCATTGCTGGGCCATGACGAAACCTGGAATGCACCGCGTCTAAAAAACCTATCTCACAAATGGGCTCCCTTCTGGTAGTGGAAACCACAAAATTGGAGGGGGGAAACGACGATTATGGAGACGCGTGGACGTGGCAATGCCAGTCGAGCCTATTTTTTTTGTCTCCCCCTTGTATTCCGTCTTACCGATAAAACCACCACCTGTACCACGTTGCGCAAAACGTGGGATTCCGTGGATTTCATTTCTCGACTCACCCCTGCGGATGCCCTTGGGCTTCTACTCTCGCATGCACGTTTCGGAACTCAGCTTCTCGACCGGATGCGTGGCTGCGATGGGTTTGTAAACATGTATTCGCTAGGAAAATGGAGGGGAAGTCGAGTGCACCGAAAGAAACCGGTCAAATCGGTCTCAGGGATGCGTTTTCGTGACCAGGCCAGTGGGTCATGAGGATTCCTGGCCCAAGAAAGAGGGGGGGGGGGGGGGGGGGGGGGGAGAAGGCCCAGCAATGCCTCTCACGGCCGGGGGAAAGAAGTCGGTCATTGCAGAGAATCATAGGGCCGTTGGTAATTGACGGAAGAAGCGGGCCTGATATACCGTGACACAAAGGAAGTATAGCCAAAGGCAACGGATGCATGACTTCGTTTTCCTTCCACAGGCCATCGGCATCGTGTGCATCGGTCTCATTCGGCACTACAATTTGAGTTGGGGCTCTGGAGATAAACTGCAACATTACGACCGATTCCTCGTTGGGGTTACCACCGTGGGTGGCATGCTGCTCGTCACCATCCCCACCTTCCTCGTCTACTTCTTTGGAGATTCCATCGAGAAGACGGGTCTGGTGAGTCTTTGGCACTGAGTCGCAGTCGCACTTCACTGGAAACTTGACAATCGTCACCCAATCAACTTCTCCATCCTCTCCATCTTGATGTATAGGAAGTCCTGCAGAACGTGGTCGGTATGATCATGTACATAGCAACAGGAGCCATGGCCATCGACAATTATGATGGTGCTAAAGGCACAGAGACGGGAGACGCCGGGCTCGCCATGGGGGTAAGTATCGTTAAAAAAAAAATACATACCAGTCCCATCTGGCGAAAATGATTATTTTGGCGGAAAAGATTAGTGGACGCTAGAGTAATTAGCCATTGCGTCATCATGGGGGGTTCCTTTGTTATATCGCCGGTCCTTCAACCTCAAGTGCGAGGGTTCTGTCATGCAAAAGTCAGCGGGAAAAGACAGGGATTTTCCAGACAGATGCCTTCCCGTGGGAATTTCACATGCCACTGCCAGGGCCCAGCACCTGCTGCCTTTTACTCGTTAAATTACGTCCTTTTCTTCGGTAGTTACTGAATTTGGCGTTTGTTTCTCCAGGCCCTGTCCATCATCAACGCCCTGGCCTACGCCATCGACGCATTCTTCGCCTACCGGAACCGAAAGGCTGCTTGAGACCTTCCTCAGGAGCACGCTTAAACTCACACCTCCACTTTTTTTTGTACAATCTTGATGACCTATCATTGTTTTGCCTTCGGTGTGTTCTGTTTTGTCTCATTCAGAATTTTCATGTCGTGTGACTTTTATACTGAATGTATGAATCTCACGTCTGGTTTCTCCAAGAGAGCGTGACTGAACGAAGGCATGAAAAAAAAATACAGTCTTTTCACGAATGTGAGAGGAATGCAACTTATTGGAAGAATCTGGCAAGGGCCTTGAAGACTTCTCAAGGACTATTCATCGGTCGGGATGATCTGACTGGTAGTAAATTCGTGCCCCTAGGAGCTTATGTTTCGCAATTCCAGCACATATGAATATTTGACGCTTCCGACTTCCTTAGCCAGATTGATCCATCCGATCCTCTGGCTGCCGGGAGAAGGGAGGGAATCTGCATTTCCAACTCTTTCATCCCTTCTTCCGAGTAAACGACCCGATATCCATTAATCTAATTATTTCCTAGTAAATTCCTCTGAATACAGAATCAACTCTTTCGGGCCATTTCGACTCCATTCGTAGAACAATTTTCCACATTTTTTGAGAACTGCTGTCGGCATTCGAGAACTAATATTTTCCGAGGAAAAAATTGCCAGAGGTTCGATGCCTTGGTTCACAATCAAACATAACGATGGACTGCACTCTCTCAAAAACTCAAATTGAAAAGGCTAACAGTAATGGTGCATACTCAATTTTCTCGAGCTAATTTCGCGCAACCTAACTGGGTATGATTATGATTTTACAGCACCCCATGTTTTGAATGGGCTGATAGCGGATGTTTCTTGTCTAGAACTCCAAAAGCACCCATGCTCTCTCATTCGCATTGCGAGAGACACATATGATCCAAACGAAAGCACTCAGCATATCTACCCGAAAACGGATTCCGGAAATCTCATATAAAGCTTTCATAGGAGAGATACACAATAAACTATACTTATTGCGGAAGTGAGGGATATTAAAGCATGACGATTGCCAAGCAGGGGACAAAGGGGACAAAGGGACGCTCACTCGTGCCGAGCGGGTGGGTGGGGTTGACGGCGTCGAGAGACTTGTAAGAAGAAAAATATGTAAAAGGCTGGGCAGAGCACAATCCTGTCGAGCGAGTCTAATGGGAGGTATGAGTTGCGTGCAGACTCATTCCTGTTGGGCTGCGAGCCCCACCCATCTCAGGGAGTACTAACACACAAGCCTGTTGAATCAAGCCCTTTTTTTTTAAACAATAGTTTGAAAGTGGGAAGGTAAAAGTTTCGGATAAGCCCCGGCCAATGACAATGCAAATGTCTCAGGGTTGCGAGAGATTTACTTTGAGGCGTAGAATCAAAAAGCACGATAGCGCATTCCAGGCTAAGAATTTTGCTATGTAATATCGTTTCCCCGAATGCAACTTCTCATCCTCTCCTTTTACATTTCATCCGTATCAGCTAAGTACTTTAGGGGATGCGTGAAAACACGTCTCGATAGGGCAATTGATGAGCATGCCAGCCATCATTTGTCACCCTAGTTCCTTAATAGAATCATGAGCCAGTAGCAGCATTAACTATATGGAAAATCATTCCAGGCGTAGTCAGTGGGTCTGGACACCCTCCCCCCTCCTGAAAACAGAAGAATCTAGCATTGGATAGAGAAAGGAATGAATAGTGTAGAGAGGAAATAGAAAGGTCATGGACATGGTTGATCCTGCCTATCACCCCATGGAGTGCTTCCAAGGCTGACCCTACCTGCTGTCAACCCTCTCCCCTCCTCAGCCCATCCTGGGGTGGATACACCAGAAACTCACCTGAACCCCCTTCTCCGAACTTTGTGGGCACCCCTGTTACTGAGGTACCTAAGATGTATCGTGTTCCATGAACACTTTTTAGAACAGCCACCATACCGGCCACTTTTTCTCACGGGGGACAAAAAATTTAAATATATGGTAAAACCATGAACATGTTAGATGTTCCTGTATTTGAACACGTGTGAATGAGCTCACCAGGTCATCGTGGTCATCGTAGTAGATTGCGTCATGGCCTCAAGGACAGAGCTAGTATTGGCCACAGGAGTGGATAGTGAGGAATTTCTTTACCTGACGAAATCTCTCACAAAACTCGTTTCATTCTCCGAGAATCCGCGTGGATGTTGTTGCACGGATCCAAGTTTACCCCCTCTCTTCATTCAAAAGAAGTCACGAGGTCTACACTCACAAAACGTGATACCCCTTCCTCGAGAAAATGATTCTGAGACAAACCCATCCAGTGGAAATAGAAGTTTCGGTTGGAATCCACTCCTCCCCACATGAGTAATCCGTGAGTGGTCGCGAATTCTTCCGATCTCGCTTCTGTTCTCCATCATTTAGTTATGGAACAGGAACATTCACGTTTTAAAGCAAAAGAAAGTAATTGTGATGAACCCGAATCATTTTGTTGGTATAACTGTAATCGCATCCCTTGGGATTGGGATTGCGAAGGGGTAAGATACATTTAAAAAATACCAGCCGAAGAGGCCCATGATATCTTTGCTTGCCTCGTTGTTTCTCACTATTTCCTCAAGCATGTTAGACACAACGGCCGGGGGAATTCTTTCTTCAACGGCGATAGTATGCATGAACGGGATCATTGGATCATCTCGCGTCATTCTTTTATTGATCTAAATTTTATTTAATTTATTTTTTGTAGAGGTATACCTTCATCGGTTAGAAGCTCATGAGATGCTATAGGAATATATTGAACAGCGAGTTATCCAGATACCCGAGAATTAAAACACGGATGCCAGAACTTTTGGGTGATTGGGGCCGTACAGCCTGTGAGCCTCGGGCCCACTAGTCGTAAAATCGAGAATTTGTTGCACTGTATAATAGGTGACGGTTGGTGTCGAGGGGTTGAAGGGAGGGGGAGTGCAGAGCGAAGGAGCGAGAAAGGGTGCTGAACCCCCTTTCCCCTCTCTCTCCCCCCCCTCCGGTTCCGCCACTCTCTTCGATTTTCTCTCCACTCCAGAACATGAGGTTTTTCTCCACCGTATTTCTTCGTGGGCCTCACAGAAGCTTTCCATGGGCACTCTGGGCATCCCTGAGCCGAAATATGTCCCCCTTTACTAGCTTTTCATATTATTAATGCGACTATCTGGTAAGGCCGAAGAGACTTCCGTCAACAAGAGGGTGGAGTCTGTGGGAGTCCCGAGGCATCGCCCCAGGAATTTCCATCTTTGTTTGGCCTTCACACTCCCTACGTCCGAGAGCCTACAAGCGAAGAAAATTTCAAACTGGTGATTACAGGGTCTCGTCGGGTCGAATTGCATCGAGGACAAACTGAAGGCTGAATACCGCAGGACGTCACGGATGATTGAAGTGAAAGGATGACGACGAATGATCGTTCCGATTCCCCGACCGTCTGAGGTGAGAGATCAGGATGTCAGTGTAAAGGTGGATTCATACGGAGCGTAACACGGTGCGGAAAAGCGAAAGAAAGGAAGGTTTCGACGTGAGCCAGTACACGGTGTCGGATCTCACATCCAGAGTAATACGCCTCATATATTTCATACACAACGTGTATTTAACAACACTACAAATGACGAATGAACCTGTTAAGACTGCAACATATAGCTTCAGGCACTGACTGAAAATTCCATGATTCAAAGCCCTGCATAGGCCAACTACATTCATTTGTTGTTTCCGTGTGTGAGTAAAAGTGTCGGATGTGACACTTCACGAAAATCTAAATGAGACAATTGCTTTTGTGGTCGCATTTCTGTGATATACAGTATAAGAAACCCATCTTTTTATTATAATACACCAATCCAAGAAACAACGGAGCGCACTCCCCGAGTTTGAGTGGATATTGCCCTATTTTTCTTCGTTCATTGCTCGTAATTTAGGGCACCGATCACGACGATTCATTCATGGCTGGAAGGTCTTGGTAGTTCCCCTTGATTTAGGATATAAATCATGGCGACTCGTGTAGGAGTTTCGACAGGGCGATCGAGGAAAGAAGGAAGGAATCACTTCGTCCGCTACCTCTCCCCTTTCAGTTTTTTTTTTAAATGGTGTATTATCTTCCTATCGAAAAGAAAATCTGAAATTGGCGTAAGTCACCCTCTGATAACATCGGGTACGACTGGAAAGCGTCGGATCTGCCAATTTCTGAGAGTTTCTTTTAAAATTAAAAGTGTAAATTCATTTCAATGTTATCTCTTATAAGTGAAAACTCAGCAACTTGTATTACTCATCATGGCTCAGCATGGGAGAATCCATGCTAGTATCTATTCCAGCAGTCCTTTACTGTCTCTCCCGATATGCATTTCTATCATTTCTGCGGGTAGAGTAAAACCGCCAATGTTCGGACAGTTAAGCCGTGATAGGTTTGTAATTCGCTCGTCACTCCTTAATGCTATAACCCAGATAATTCTATTTTTTTTTGCGTCCGGCAGCACAATATGAGAAGGTATGAGTGTGATAAAGATGATGATAATCGAAGCCAATAATTCCAATAATTTCTATTACGTGGGTGTCCGAACTTAGATGCGAAAAAATGTTCGAACACAACCTAGTTTGGACACACCAGAAGTAAGGCGGAAATCTGTTCATAGCATGCGTATTCCCTTGTAGCAGTGCTCTACGTTCCCTAGTTTCCTGTGGAATAATAATTGATTACAGAATTAACAATACCGCGTGGGAAGCGTATCTCAAGTAAGGTCTTCTCCGTACGTTTTCTTGAATTTCTCCTGTCCGCGCGACTTGACATTTATTTCTGCCCGATATGTCGAAATCGTGCTCAACGATCGTGGCCACCGCAAGTCTTTCGCTTAGTAGCATGGTCATCTTGGGCTATGAAGAACTCGCTCTCTGATGTCGATATCGCGAATGCGAATTTATTAACAATAAACGTCAGAGTGTCCGAACTTAGGTGGTTTTACCCTACTATTCAGATGATATATGATACAAAAGACTGAAAATTTTCTCTCTTTTTTTATTACAAAAACAATGGTCCATGTCTTTTGGGAATAGTGATTATGAACTTTTGTCTAGAATGCAATAACCAGAAATTTAGTGAAAATTCATCTCAAGGCTAGTGGCCTGTCCGCTAGTGGCCGACGCTTCCGTCTCCCACGTGCGATAACCGTTGACTTACGTTTTCCGTTCTGTATATGAGGGTAAATTCACCCTCTGACTTCCGTCCAAAAAACCATCTTGATCCAAACAAGGCTAGGCGTTCCAGGTCCTCCGGACTCTGGGACTTTTGTCTGGAGAAACTCGTTTCTCCTAACAAATCAGCGAAAGGCAGACCTGAATCCGAGGCCAGATAGGAAATGCTGGAAATTGTCTCATTCACGACTTACTCTTCGTATCTCTAGGATTGGGAGGCAGCTGAGGCTGCTAAGAAGGCGTTTTACGCGATATCAGTCAGGTCGGGAAGCACCGTAGGTGCGTGTACGAGGGTGGATCAAAAAGTTTCCGGAAAAGTTTTCCTGAGTAACGTTACACGTGACCTAGATTCATAAAATTTACGCATTATGCTCTTTGCAATATAAACTAATACCGTTGGCATGTATGACTCGACAACACTGCTGGTACATGCACAGCGACTGTGAAAAGATAATAGCTTGTATGTCAAATGTGCTCATCATTGAGCAACAACCACAACCTATTGCGAAAATTTTTTGCTGAAAGATGGATTGAAACTTTGTCAAATTCATCGTAGAATGCAGGCACAGTTTGGTAATGCATGCTAGGGTAAAAGCAGCTAACAATGGCATGAAAGATTTATGAGTGGACGGGAAGATCTGGCATCATTCCTCGTTCTTAAAACCGCTAGGTTCAAAGTCGCGCAAAAGCGTGGAAAAGTCATTGCAACCTTTTTTTTGGGATTCGAAAGGAGTGAATTTCTTTGACTTTCTTCAGCAAAATGTTATGGAGAATGCGGAATACTACAGCAACCTCCTGGAGGGACCACTTCGAGAAGTTATCCGCCGAAACAATCAGGCATGTTGACTTCAGGCGTTGTTCTGAAGCACGATAATGCGCTCCCACATACGGCTAGAAGAACCGCTGAAAGTCTACAGAACCTTGGTTGGGAGATCCTTCCACATTCCACATCCACCTTATAGTCCGGATCTTCCCCGAATGACTTCCATCTTTTTCCGAAGCTGAAAGAAGCGATTCGAGTAACGAAAACCGAAACAACAGAAGATCTGAAGAAAGCTGTCCAGGATTGGTGCAAGAACCAGCCTATTGACTTTTTTGCTGAAGGCTTTCTTCTGCTGGTAAATAGCTGGATAACATTTTGTGACGTTGAGGGGGAGTATGTTGAAAAGTGGGGAAAGTTACGTTGACATTGGTATAATAAAATTCAAGTTACAGCCGTTTTTCCGGAAACTTTTTGATCCACCCTCGTAGCAAATCCTGGACTGTTTTCTCAATAATTGTGAAATGCTAACGATTTTAGTTCATTTCTGGAAGCTCTGAGAGATAAAAATCCCACGTTTCGAGTTCAACAACGGGAGATCTAAGCAACAAGACCCATACGCGAAGAGAGATAGCACTCCTAAAGGCTGATTTTTTTTATATATGTACTTTTAGCGCAAATTTTGAATTTTCCTGTATCTTTGGGGCAGGTGTTGAACAGACAAAGAGGGTATGAGAACCCACTCGAGCTTCTCCTGCTCTAGCCCTGAAGTACCTAACACCTGGTGGGCGTCTATAAGGAGCCTCCAAGGCTCACTCACCACACCCACGCTAATCCCCCAGGGTCATAACTTCTAAGCTCGTCTGCATTCATTTTGAATTCAAACTTTATTCTCCTATCGGGTGAGACAGATGCAAGACATTCACAGGCAAATCAACGATGCAGACTGAACGTGGAGAATGAAGGGGAAAAAGAAGCAAAAGAATCTGATTGAGAAAGAATTTTACGAAAGCGTCGAGGTTCAGAGTGCAATTGTTCTTTGTCCAGTGAGGCGATTCAATGAAGACATTCTCTGGTGAAAGGAGGTTCGCCATTAGACCGGGCTTGTCCAGCTCTTTTCCTTCATTGTGTGACGAAAGGGCTCCACGATACTTCTCTGTACGTCATTTCCTTGGGAAACAATTCGTTTCACTGTCGTGCACTCTTCACCGCAATCATTTTAGCTGCCAACTCATTGGAACATGTTTAGTTTCCATCATTTCGTTCTCCGATGACGTACCATGTCACCATGGTTCGATGGCTACGGTTTCAGGCAACCACTCTTTGCTCCATGGTAGGAGCAGTAAGGGCTTCGTGAACTTCAATAACTACCCACCTTAGCAACCTTATAAGTGCTCTGATGGACGGACCTAGATCGTGAGCGACATCAAAGGTGTCACCACCTTTCTAGTAAAGCACGAACACGGAACATACGGTATGATAAAGATCTTGGGAAGGTGCAGTAATGTTGCCAGGGATTTCCAAATGACAAATTTGCAATGCATTCACGCGTTGTGGCATTGCCCTCGGCAAAAAATAATAATTGGGTGGATGCAATGGTTCCTTACCCGAGAAAAAATTTAACAGAAACTATGGCACATTATCAGAGAGCTAAGGGAGTCTCTTCTATCCATGGGTTAGCCTCTCCACGGAGAATGGAAAGCATATGAAAGTGAGATTAGATGAATGAAAAAGTCACAAATGGTGCCGGTATAGCGTGAAAAAATCTCTGACAGGGAACTGCTCGACATATTCCCTACTCCACGATAAAAAGGATGGCACAGGGAATAGGATGACACTCAAAATGTACGCACAGTTAAATGACGCTCAACGTAATGAATGACAGTCAAAATGATCTCTTTTAAAATTGCATAAGGAAGAACGCCATACCACGTCATGAAAGCTTGTCGTCGTCGTTCAATAAATCAGAGAGAATCCTCAAGGTTAGCGAGTGCTCGCTTACACTCGCTAGGGCCACTCGCCAAGTGTAACACCCTACTCGCTACGAGTTAGGAAGATTTCAAACAAACATCAGGCGAGTACTCGCTAGCAAGAACCAAAGGGCAACCTCAAGGCAAGATGGAACCCCACTCCTCCCATGACAGGAGCTGAAAAAGTCAGCGCAAAGCGTATGGTATGAGCTCGTCCATACTATTCGCCGTTCAACGAGGGGGTTGCTGCTTCTCCCACAGTGGGGTATGGTATTATCAGGAAGTGGAGGAGGCGTAATTGACGGGTTTGGACGATGTCCCGGTTCGTGAAAAGATCTACAGTTCTCACAATTGTTTACCGCTGGATCTGAGAGAGTCTAGCCCCAATCACGTTACTGACTTCCTTCGAATGAACGAAGCAAACTTCCAGACTCTTAGAGAAGGTAGCTTCAAGGGTAACAAAGAAGAAACGGTATTTAGGGACTCTACCCCACCAAAGGAATTGCTCGCTGCATCCCTTTGTTACTTTATCAGTGGTGAGAGTATGGATTCCATCTGTTACTTGTAACCGATTGGTTATGGCCTCTTCATGATTGAAGAGGTTGGAATATGTAGTGAACGGTCATTGATCCTCGGGGAAAAAAAATTGAAACAGAATCGAAGATATATGTTTCCTCCTTCCTTGGCCTCCAAAGCGTCCTTTGACAGTTGGCGTACCATCACAATGTCGACTAGATTTACTGTGACTGATGAGAATTTTCTACTTTCTGCGAGGAGCCATCCCTGCATATTTCATATTTATCGATATCTGTACACAGATGTTCAAAAAAGCAAATTCCCCTATCATAAAATAGATGGTTGGCAGTTTGATGCGAGTAAATGGTAAGCTCTCGCTAGCGAGTACTCGCTTAATGTGACACCATACTCTCCAAGTGTAACAGGGCCTTAAGCTTCATCATTATTCGTATACATATCATTATCCAAATTTTCCTCGGCTTTTTTCCAGATGGTGTATATTTATATTTTCTTTCATCTCAGCGTCAATATAATCTGAGGGGGATAACTATCCTCGGAGCATCGTAAAGTGGGGCCTGGTATGGATTTTGACAAATATCAGTGAATGAGTTCATGAAACTCAGGCAGTTATTGCGAATTCTTATTCATTTAGAAGGTTTACAACCTCAGAGGAGATAATAGCCACTGTGAGAAATGAACATGCAACCATGAAAGATTTTGAAACTAGGAAATATATTTCCCACTTGGGCAAGATCTTTCCAGGACAGCAGCATTATGGAAAACCTGCAATACTCATAAAGGATTTTTCCATTCAATATCCCTCGGATTTTTTTTCTCGTATTGCACGTAGGAGCTGGAGAAGGGCATTCAAAGTCTTGTCGTGGAATTCCTTCATTCCTTGGTCTTGTGAGAGGAGACCTCTAAGGCATTCATCTAAGTTCGTTCTCATTATTACTAGGATTTCACCTAGCCTAAAAGGAATAAAGGAGGAATGAATAAGTGAATCATATATATATATATATATTTTTTTTTTTATTAACAGGGTTTTAATGGGAATGAAAGGTTTGAGACTTGCTTTTTGGGGCATGATACAGGAGGTAGAGAGTGTGCATGAATGGAATCAATGAACATCAAAACTTTGTCTGCTGACCCCTGCAAGAGGAATGATTTTCATGTGGAAGCAATCTCCAATGAATGTGTTTTTCAAAGTGAGGAAAGCCAGTCTGATTTGAAAAACTGAGTAACTCAAAACAAACTTGTTTGCAAAATTCTGTTGCGTTAGATGTGTTATTTATGCCATGACCTTTCATGTCGTATTGCAGCTGTAATTGCTCTGTTCACAACTCAAAAGTTCACACTATCAGAGCTCACGAGCTCATGTCCTTCTCATATTGCTGTATCAGTATGAGTGGCAAAATCCAAGCTAGATCAAAATTATAAATTATGCTCTCCAGGTTCAAGAGAATTCTAACAAACAAAACTTCTGCATAGGTTCTTCATCTTTCCTGTTGCTCGATCTTTTTATCACAGAGGAATTTCACATGAAAGTTAAGCCTAAAAGTATGTGTATTTGGAAAAAAAGTTTCAAAGTAGCCATACCCAGGTAACTTGGAACAGCAGAGACACACTCAGACATCATGTACATATGTTGAAACCCTGAGGAGTATGGACATAAAAATTTGAAAGTCTTGTTTACAAGACTTAAGACTCTTGAATGAGTCTAGTTATCATTGACTGGAACATTTCATATCTGAAATCAGAGTTTCTGCAAGTTTGACCTAAGTTAGACTGGTTTACCTTATGTCATTGCCATACCTCTTCCATGATGAGGCGTTTCCCTGAGAACAACACGTAGAGAAGTGTAGTTATGGGTGAAGCATTGCGAAGCAAAAGAACATTTCTTCCCCTCTCTTTTGACTGTTCCAGTGCAAAAGTAAGGATGAAGGGATCCTGGAGTTCACTCTCGTCAATCAGCACTTCTGAATGACACTGGACTCTCATATTCCCTCTGATATGTAGAGTACGCATATTAGCAACTTATAGACAACCCAGAAAGTGGAATATCATATCTCTCAAAAGGAAGCATTGGAGGAAAGAAAGAAAGTGACTGACTTCCTGAGTGATGGTTCCTGCAGCATGATCCTACCCTTCCTCTTCACACCACGTTTCATTGAGACTAGATGAGCTGGTCCAAGGCCAGCTAACAGAGCACCCTTCACAAGATCTTCATAGCAATGAGCAAAAGTGTTTTCATTTGACATAGAATCCAAAGGACCTTCTATGAGACCTTCCATTTCCAAATATTCCTCAGTGCTTGCCATAACACCTGGAAAATAGCTCATGTCAGAATTTATGTCTCTTCATCATGAATACATGGCATGCATATATGATGAACCTGCCTGACAGAAAATGCAGATTGGTGTGGGATAGTTGATTAGCAATGAGAAAATCTCTCACAGAACTTCTTGTGCTATGCTTTCGGCCTCTCCAAATGGAATCCCATGCCAGCAGAATGTTACACAGAGCTAGATGATCACTGTGTCCATGGAACTTGACCTTTGACTTAATCCCCCAAAACCCCTCAGTTATTGAGGATGAAAATGCATGTTATCCATTTCATATGCATAATAGTCTTACTTTTCTTATAGTGGAAGAGGATGATTCCTTGGTTCTGAGGAATGGATCTTTGCCACCTGAAAGTCCCACAGCTGCAGCTAAAACAGGCTTGGCACACCTATGATATCATACTGCTGGTTCAATCCAAGGATAAAACTATGTGCAGTTTTGAAGGCAATTTTGAAAAGGGACTGATTGTCCATATAGCTGCAAAAGATGATAACTTGAAGATGGATATGATTAGGTACAGAAACCAAATGAAGAGACATATGGAAAATACTCTGAAGAAAATATTAAAGAAAAATACAATAGCTCATGATGTGCATAAAAAATTTGAAATTCTACCATTGAATGCTGAAATGTAAGCAAAATTATTTAAATTATTCCTAAGAAAGCCTTGTAAGACAGATTTAGAGATTATGACCACCATTCCTGTTAACCCTTTCCTGTAATGCATAAAAACATTGTTCAGTGTTGCTGTTAGTGTTTGTATGTTAATCCCGCTGATGAACTGCCAGACTGTTCTTTTCAAATCTTCTGGAATTTGAGGTCTAGTTTGGTAAGCATGCCTCTTACAATGTCCCACAAAAAGAAATCTAGGGCAGTTAAGCCAAGGAATTTAAGAAAATAATGACCCATACTGAAAATACAGCTCTACAAATTTTGTTATTGCTGTTAAATCCCAATTTTTCATGTTCAACAAACCTTCAAAAAACAACCCTCAACCTGCAAAGGAAAAATATATCGCAATTCCTATGAGAACAAAATCAGCAAATTATTTTGTTTCAGAATCTGTGGACCACCCAGCTATTTGAGAGTCCTTTCATGTTGGAGCTCCACCTGAACAAACTAAAATTATTACAGTAAGATCAATCTCTTTACATGCGGAGAATTTGTCAAAATAAAAGCATCATCTGACAGAATGAATATAACACATAAAATTATGGAAACAGGTGAGCACGGAGAGCTTACTTCAGCATCACTCCATATAAGACAGCCTTGGCAATTTTAGGCAGCAAGGGAAGCTTGGCTGCTTTGCAACCAAGTGAAGTCAGTGTTTCATCTTCATTCAGGAAGCCATCATCTTTCATCTCTGAGATGGATCTTTCAAGAGAAGCCTGTGGTGGAGCCTCCAATGCACTAGCAAAGAACTCTCTCAGTGGCACTGATTCTCCAATCATATTCTGCAAAAAAGTGTGCAGTAAAATGTGCACTTAGTACCCAAGCTCTACTGTCAATAATGAACTCTGAATGACCATGACTCAAAATGAATTAAAAAGGAAAAACCTTGACGTCAAGGAGGACTGAATCTAGGGGTGCCTTGAGGATTTCTGGAATAGGAAATTTCTCGAAGCAATCAAAACGTGCTTTCACGTACAGATGGAAACTCTCTCCAGGTTGGATCCGACCAGCTCGGCCTTTCCTCTGCTCTACATTCCCTTGTGATATCCAGAAGGAATTGAATTCCTCCACTCCGTTGTGTGGGTTATACCTTGTGATACATACATAAAATTGTACCAAACAGAGATTCACCAAGCAGATGAGCATGCTGAGAGCAGGAATCATTAATCCATTGACAGCATCATCAACCATGCCTTTTGCATGGTTGATGATGCTGTCATCAACCATGTCTTTTGTCACTATGAAGAACCCAGTTCCCTACTAACTAACCTCCAAATTTTACATTTGGCCTCAAGCATGAAAGGATATATACCTTGCTTGATCACTCACAAACACAACCCATACTCCCAAAAGAGGAAATGGCTCTCACCAGTATAAACCACTGAATTCAAGTCCAACAGTCAAAACCCAATGGAATTTTGCACTCAAACATCTGCAGCTGTTGTGATCCTTGGGTGTCCTGACCCTGGCAGATGTGTAATGTCTGCAGTTTCATTGTAGCTATGTATATATTAATGGACAAAATTTTTTGATAGTGCAGTAGACAGGTCAGAATAGTCAAAATATTCCTTGGCCATTTTTCACTCATTCCATGTCCTGTGGCTTGATCAGGCCTTGTCTATGACTAAAGACCTGCTTCCTGACAGGGACTGATGTCTCAGTCATTCTTCTCACCCTCCTTAACCATATCATGGGCAAATCAATAGCAAAAATGAACAAACCGCAATGGCCAGTACATCCGTGAGAGTGGCTATTCAAACCTATCCAGTGCACCAATGCAAGCCTCTGGAAGGACATGTTGTTTACACCTCCTTAATTTGGATAGCCCACCAGGATTGTTTGGTGGTTCAAGTTTTACCTCTACACATGGAAAATACTGTCTAAGCTAAGTGTCTCAGTTTGCTTTGTACACAGTAAGAGATCTTGTAAAGGGCATGAGTTCTTTTGAAAGAAAGAACTTTAGAGCAACTACTTTCAGAAAGCCTTCACCCATCATCTCTGTTGTGGATTTCCATCCATAGGCAGAGAACATTCCTTAAGAAAATGCCAAATTTTCCCAGAGTGAGATGAAAAATGTGTTCCTGTACAAGGCTGAGGTCCCTCACTTGAGTTCCTATGCCGTAATGTACATATACTGGCTAGAATGGATTAGGTAAGGTTAAGTGAGGCAAGATACTACAGAACCTGATAGGACATTTGAAAATAATCTTCTCAACTTATTTTTCCTGGAGTTACTCAGCCCCATCTAAGTATTAACCCTTTCACTCCTAAGACTAAGTAGGTAGAATATGCATGAATTCCCAAACTAGTTTTATACCTAATTGCAGAATGTTTGAAAAATCATCATAAATCTAATTTAACTATTAGCACATAAAACCAGTGCAAATAGATCAGCACCCTAGGATCCCAAAGGTTAAACGATAGACAACTGAAGTCTGTTAGAAATCTGCTGACTCACAATATTTGTATAGCCTATTCAAAGTTTTAAGAGAGATGTCAATAAACGTGAAGGCAATAGACATCATTTGACAACATAATATCATTATATTGAATACTCAAAGAAAATTTTTAGTAAATATTTGTTTTGTTTTGGAAAGCGTTATGAAGATTCAAGGGAAACCCATTTTTGAAGGACTAAAAAGTCACAACTTTCTCACATGCAATTTATAATCTTCATTTTCTTCTCAAGGATGAATTATGAATTTTTCAGTGACTCCACAAATTGACCCTACTATGGGAGCAAACAACAGTTGCTCATTTGCAAGAAGGGACTCACCGTTTGTCTTTCTGAATGCCAGCATCCACGACATATACAACATCACTGATGGTGATACTAGTTTCTGCAACATTGGTTGCAAGGATTATCTTCCGAATTCCTTCAGGGGGGATATCAAACACTCGTTCCTGCTGTGCTGGTGACAACCTTGAATGAGCCTCCACTATAATATAATTCTGGCAGTTTTCTTGAGCCATGCATCTCTCCAATTCTTCAGCGACCCATAGTATTTCTTGCCAGCCAGGGAGAAAGCATAGGATTGCACCTGATGGCTTCTCCCTGTGAATTGCCATAATGACATCACGCACTAAGTCCCCAGGGAACTGGGGTCTGTCTAATTGAGAGTTCTGTATGACCTTCTCTGCATTATCACTCCAAATAGCAAGATGATTCAACAGGTCTGGCAGGAAATATTGTTTCACTGGGAAAAGACTTCCATTAACATGAATCTGAGGTGCATTAAAATATTCTGCAAATAAGGAGCTGTTCATTGATGCACTCATGACAATCACATGGAGAGAGGGGTTCAAGGTCAAAGCATGTTTTAGGAACACCATCAGTGTGTCCGTGAATAGGTCACGCTCATGAGCCTCATCAACTATAACATGACTCACTCCCTCCAAGGTGGGATTACTCAAAAGTTTCTTAAGAAGCACTCCAGAAGTGCAGTATAGTATAGCTCCAGGTTCTTCACAGATCTCTCCAACAAGGCGCACTTGATAGCCAACACTTTGCCCAACCTGGATGAATTAAACAACACCTCCATAAGTACTTTTGGAAGTACATCACATTCAATCGGTCAAAATACAGATGATGAAATACAAACTCACCAGTTCTTCTCTAGCCTTTGCAACAGTCTTTGCCAATGAAATTGCATTCAGTCTTCTAGGTTCAGTGACAATGATGTTGCATTCCCCTCCTCTGCCTTGAACTACGGCCTCATCCAAAATGAATTGTGGAACCTGAGTACTTTTCCCACATCCTGTGTCTCCTGTCAATACCAGAGTCTGCTTGGCTCTCAGACTGCTCAGGATTGCCTCCCTAAATAGAAGAGACAATAAAATACATAAGGGATGTATCACATCAATGGAATTATAGAATATTCTTGCCTTCAAAGTGCAAGCTTCAAGCACTTTTCAGCAGGCACAGGGAGCATCAGCTGCAACTTCTCAAACACTTACTGCATGCATTGCATGAATTGTAGGCTGACATAAATAGAAGAGACTATGGCACTTTCTGTATGCTATTAAAAAATCATCAAGTACTATGTTTGCACCACAGATGAAATATTTTATTTACAGGTTGTATCATTCAGTCACTTCCACAAACAAATTCAAGAAAGATGATTGGGCATGGGTGAATCAAGGACTCATAGCTAGAATGCATCATTCATCATCCTGAATATGAAGCAGTTTCTCTTCAATGCCTTGTATTGGACAGATATGGGATTGCAGAGGTAAGGATGGCTCTATTGCCTCATCATAACTCTCATCCATTTCATCCTTGCTATATTCTCCTGTATGCTTGAAGACATAGCCCCAAGACTTCATAAAAGGTGAGTTGAATGGATGCTTCTTTGTAATGAGGGCTGGAAGCCCCTCATATGGTCTTGGTTGCATATCTGGAAGTGATGTGGTGCCATCATATAGGGGAGCAAAGTCTTGCCTAGGGAAGCTTTTAGTCCTGGGCAACTGCATTTTTCCTTTGGTTTGCCAGTGGTGAATAAAGACTTCCTGAACTGGTTTCTGTGGCACTCCCCAAAATTGCAATGGATCAGTGGTTGTGGTATAGAGTTGTTTCACAAGGATGGATCCTGTTTCAGGATTACTCGGCTTAGAGTTGATCTTGACAGTAGGAACTGGGTTCGTCACAGAAAAGTGAGATTGTGTGTGACTCTGCAATGATATAAGCCAGTTTTCGCTCAGAAGGTTCTCCCACTCTGGAATCTGGCTGATGACAACTAGGAAGGGAGGCAGGAGAAGGAGAAGAGGGAGGAGACATTGGAGGAGGAAGCAAGCAAGCTCCCTGCAATTTGCATGAGATCCTCTCCTTTGGTGTGATTCTTGAGTCTGCTCAAGAGATGGGCCCTCAACTTTCTCAGAAAAATACTTCAATGGTGTTGGGAGAGTTCTTCCCTTCATGAATTTTTTGTTTTTAGGCCTATCAAATCAACAAGATACCACCTTAGATCTTCTGGATTATATTGATTAACAATGATCCTCCTTAAGGTCCAAAGATTTACTTATATCATTCAATATCTATAATATTGCATGAACGCTATAATAGAAAGGGAGTTTATGGATATTATGCTTGACTTTCACTGAATCAAATAGCTAGTGGACCACATGGGATGTGACTGAATTCACTTATAAACATATTTTCTTGGTCATACAATCTTTAGCTTCATATCTGTCAATTGGAATCATGCCTACAATAAAGAAAGAATACAAAGCAAGACTCCTCAAAGCCCAATATTATATCAAATTATCTATTCTCATAAAATAAATATAGAATATTTCATCATTTTTCTGCTGTGGGACATCTTTGGTGAATGCAGTTTCTTGTAATGGCAGGCTAAAACAACAAAATAAGTCACACAAAGCCTCATCTACTAAGATACATACCTATGGTCATATATGGGAAGTGTCTCAACATTGCTGTCAGAAGTCCTGCTCTGAAGCCATGTCTGGAGCTGCTGACTTCTCCTTTTCCTGTCTTCTGGCAACCACTCTGAGAGAGGCTTCCCAGTCATACAGTTAAGCAATTCTGCAAAAACAAAAGACTCAGTCAATCAGTGCCAGGGTGCCTCTATTGGTATTAAAGTAACAGAAGCAATCTGTGCATCACTCCAATCTGTCAGTGCAGAGCATGGCCCTACCATGAATTCAGAGAACATTGTTCTGTTTCAGTGTTTCTCCAGGCTACACTTTTCTTTTACACTTTTACACACCTATTTTACCCTTCTCAGAAGAAGACAGATGTCTTTGATGGTGATTTACAAAAATTTCATCTTGTTTGTTGATTAAAGAAAGCTTCTATGAAATTTTTTCAATGTGCTACCAAAAGGTCTCTCTCTGCCTCAAAAAAAAGTATGCCACTTTATTAAAAGATAAAGACTCCATCCAAAGTTGTCTGTGCTGATTGCAAAATGGACTTAAGCTGCAGATGTGATGCCCTTTCACACTATTTAACACATGAATGCCATCTTACTCTTGCTCCTGAGCAAGAGCTTATTGAAGATGGCTTCCAAAATGCTGGACATACACATCAATTGAAATCTAATATATATGCACAATAATATACCTTTCCATTATGATTCTCAGGCATCCCATTGCCATTCAGGCAACCAACATGCCCAAAGAAACCAAACAGGGGGTCATGAAAGAAGGTAGGATAGGGTAAAGGAGGATGAGTGCAGGCCATTGCATCTGAGAGTCACCTTCCCAGAGTCCAGACAGTGAAACAAAGAGACACAATGAAGCCATGTCAGACCTCACAGGCAAAGAAAAATGCAGATAGCAGGACACCACAAATTGAAATGCCTTCATTCAGGAATGGGATTCAGGGTAGTGCCTCACTGACACATCGAAAAGAATACTCATTTGCTTTTTTTTACACAGCATCAATCTATGCACTGTGAATTGCATCTGCAGATTTTTTTATCATTAAGCTTCAATATCTCAGATTCATTCATACTGCAGCTACCAATTACAAGTAAGCAATGAGGGCCTGCAACACACTAATCTGCTTCTTCTCCTCTGCTTTGCAGGGTGGGAATGTGAACCTGACGGAAGTTAATCAGGGATTGTGGATGAAGGGGGGGGGGGAGGGGAAACGAATGGAGTGCGTTGGGAATTGATGAATGATCATTTTTGGTGCACTTGAGAATTGTCCTACATGAAAATGAACTCATTGTCAAGTCTGATGATGGCACGAAGTTTATTCAAATATTCAACAAATACAACAGGCATGGGACCTGAATTCACTATCTGCTAGTACAAGAGTCTATGAGAAGGGGGAAACAGTACCCACAACTGTGAAATTCTCCCTTTTTTGCATGTTTACTTCATAGACATATTTTTCACTGATGACAGACCAACCTCTTGTCCTGGACTGTCAAAGATTAAGACCTGTCACATCTTTAACAAGTTGGGCAAGCCCAGTCCAGTAGTGGGCCTATTTTCAGTTAAGTTCCCTCATTTTGTCACCTAATTGAACAAAATGCCATCTCTTTCCAGTCTTCGACCATCAAAAACCTCATTTCTCATATGTATTTGGTAAACATAGACAAACAGTGGCCATGCAATGGTGATGGGAGGATGGAGGTCTGTGTTTGGTTGGATCCATCAGCCACACAGGTTGGTAGGGAACTGACAGCTCTAGTTGCTGACACAGTGCCACACCCAAAGCCTGGGTTGTATGTGCATGCACATTGTGGTCCAGAATCTGAAGGGCTCATGGGTACTCATGCCTTCCCCTCTGTGACCATATTTCAAATCCAAAATTTGCAATAAAAATACCAATATCTGTGCAAATTTGCCACAAATCAAACTTAGCCTGTATCTTGTTCATATCTATCTATTAGGGGTACTGGAAAGTAATGTCTTTTTTTGCAAACCAAATATAAACGTTATTTATGGTGTGTTTTCATTGGTTTTCAAATGAATTTCATTTATTAATCTAAAGAACTGTTATTTGTCATAAATTTTTTTATAACAAAAATTTTTTCTTTTTCTTCAGTAAAAATTTCTGACCACATTTTCAAAGAGATCCAAATATGACATTGTATGCTTTATGAGTTTCGTAAGGGAAGTAAGGGAACAGAAGCCACCAAAAACATTTGTGGTGTTTATGGAGATGTATTGGATGTTGTAAATGCCAATGTTGGTTCAGTAAATTCCAGTCAGGTGATGTTGATCTCTTGGATGGTCATCATTTGGGAATACCAGTAGAGCTGGACAATGATTTCCTGAGATCAGAGGTTGAGTCAGATCCCTGCCAAACCATCCAATAATTGGCAGAAATATTTAATTCTGGGCTTTGTTTTCAGCTGAAAGTTGGTGTGGAACCCAAACGCCTTGTCTATTAACCTTCTTGATCTGTTGAAGGTGCTCTTGAACACTAGACCACAAAGAATGAAGTTTCTCTGCCAATTGTTGGATGGTTTGATGGGGGTCTGACTCAACCTCCAACCTCAGCAGATCATTGTCCAATTCAACCGGCATTCCCGAACGATGGCCATCCAATACATCTCCATAAACACCACAATTGTTTTTGGTAGCCTCTGTTGCCTTACTTCCCTTAAGAAACTCATAGAGCATACAATTTCATATTTGGATCTCTTCAAGAATGTGGTCAGACATTAAAAAAAAAAAAATTATGACATATAATGGTTATTAAGATTAATAAATGAAATCCATTTGAAGACCAACAAAAACACACCATAATGTTTACATTTGGTTAAAAAAAAACTACATTACTTTCTGGTACTCCTAATACTTACCAAATTTTTGCATTGACCAAGTCAATGTTTTTTTAGTTATCCTCAGACAACCAAAGTGTGACACATAGATGGACAGGACGGGACCATAAGTGGTATTTTTCCTTTCAGGAAAGGAGGCCCAATAAAAACTAGTTCCTTGTGCTGGAGGTTGGCAATGAATTCTGCATCAAATTCTTGCTAGGCATATAATGTAAAGTTGGAGTTGATAGTGGTTTTCTGTTTACAGGTTTGGCTGAAGGACAGACAAACCTTTCTCATTGCAATTTTTATGCTATTGAGAGATGAGTGGGGCTTTCTTGGATGCATCCCATGGAGATGTGCATTCATTTCTTGGATGTCTAACACAGGTTCACCTTAAATGAGAAGCTCAATTGAGTTAAACAGCGAATTTTGTACAAGGCTATTGTTCCATTATTTCCTAGGGATGAAGTAGGATGGAAATGCAAATATGACATAAATACATTGGGAGAAGATTTCATACAACTCATGTCACATCTCCACATGGACTCCTGTCTGTTGGATCTTTTACCATGATTGTTTTGCAGGGGACTTTTTAATTTGCAAAACTTCATTGACTTGACAGAGAAATTTCCATTCAGTCCATTCAGCTTTGCATTGTTGAGTAAGTTCCTCTCCACAGTTCCTTCTTTTGCAGCTGTGCCATCATAAATTAATCAAGTTTAGAATAAAAACTTGCATATCCTTGAAGATTCCAGACAGATGAAGAAACAAAATTCACCAAGAGAGGCAAGAAAGGCCACAAGGAAAACTGTTCTGTTCTCCCTCAACACATGTAGATGGCAAGATAAGACTCAGGAGGCTCCTAGACCTAGATTGGACTTAGTTGCTAGTTAATATTTCTTCAATACCACCCCTAATTATCACTCAATACCTAAAATTTATATTAATTTTAATATTGGGAGCAAGATTGAATTGATATGCTAACATCAAATGAAGGGTGCTGTTCATATCACTGTAGCACCCCATCATATTGGGTTATAAACAGCACTGATACATAACATTTATGGTTGTACATACTCTGCTTCCCTGTCACTTCACCACTAGACACAACACTTCAACACCACATGGGCCTTCTTATTTATTTGAAGCAAATTAACCTTTTGCAGTCCTGTGTTCCACAGTGTGGGCCTATATAAAATTCCCATTTGAATTTGAATAGCCAAATTTGAGTACTGATGAGAGTGACTGGGATGTCCATATAAAGTATATTTCATGGAAGTATGATCAACATTTGTGTTTTATTTCATTATATTCAATTTGGGAAGCACTATAATAAAAGGTGCAAATTTTACAGTAAATGCATGAAAAATAATTGGACCTGGTAGCCATATTTATGGGGGGAAAAAAAGGACTGCAAAGGGTTAAGGCAGCAAGGTTACAAAATACAAAATACAGAAATATTTATGATAGTTACTGGTGCGTACCTGGTGTCCTCTTCCATTCTTGATCAAAGGCAGTAGGGTCCTTCAGAACTCTTTTATCACAGAGCTGGAAAATTATAAAAATAAGACCCAATAATATGGGTGTTCTACAAAAGTCTGACATTTTATTTTTGCAAAAACTCAAGAATGGTAATGCAAAAAAAAGCTTGAAAGTTAGAACTAAATTAAGGGCCTTTGCAAATCAGGATATAATGAATGAAATTTACATGGGGAATTTTTTATATTCAGAATATGAAATTTTTTAATTGCTCCCATTTTTCATGAAGACAATCCCTGCATCAAACCAAAGCAATATTCATTGCTGCTTCAAACTTATCTCAGTGAATGGAAGCAGTGACTTCTCCAATTCTGTTTTTTTTTTTCAATTCCTTAGCACACCTAGGTTTTGTGTGATACACATTGTTCTTAAGGTGTGGTCCAGATAAAAAAAAATCAGAGGTTGTCAAATCTGGTGTGTGGGCACAGGACAGCACCAAAATGAGAAAGGAATTTATCCCAAACATTTTCTACCCATTCCAGAACTACACCGCATCTGATTCCAATTAGATGCACCTTATGTAAAATGTTCTAGCAAGAAATCCATAACAATGTGAACATTGTTATTGCAAGATCATTTTGGGGATAGATTCATTTCATACTTCTGTGCTATCCCATAACCTGCACACCCATCAGATTTGACAGCCCCTGATTTTTTTTATTTGGGGCCACCCCTTAAAAACAATGCATATTACAGAAAACCTAGGTGTGCTGAGGAACTGAAGAACAAAATTTAAAAAGCCATCGCTTCCATTCACTGAGACACATTTAGAGCAGTGACGAACAATGTTTTGGTTTGATACAGCGATTGTCTTAATGAGAAAGAATAACATTTGAAGAATATCGTATTCTGAACAAGAAAAATTCCCAAATAAATTTCAGTTATTATAACCCAATTTGTGAAGATTCTCATTTTAGTTCCAACTTTCAAGTTTTTTGGTATTACCATTTTTGAGTTATTGAGATATGCCAGACTGTTGTGGAAAACCCTATACAAAAAGTGCAACAGAGAATATGTAAAAACATGAAGATAGAGCAAAAAGAACTGTACAGGAATGGCTTACTGGTAATGAAGGAATCAGGTTAAAATCAACCACATCTGATGAGAGGGTAAGTTGGAGAGGGTCATGCCACTGGCGTGACAGTCTATTTTCTTCCTCTTCTGTCCAGAGTTTTGGATTTAATGTTCCACAAACAGCATCGATCTTTCTCAAGTATCTGAGAGCCTGACAAAAAAGCAGAGAGAGGTACAACTGACTGTGATATTTTATGGAACTACATGAAAATAAAAGCAGGACAGCAAGGCAATAATTATTTACATGCATAAAAAACCTTCATTTTCCCACAGGAAAAAAAAAAAAAAAAAAAAAACAGGAAAAAGGGGNTACATGCATAAAAAACCTTCATTTTCCAAAAGGAAAAAAAAAAAAAAAAAAAAAACAGGATAAAGGGTGAAAACAGGCAAAAATTTAAAAATTGATTTGAAATTAAAATTTTAATTTTAAAAATCCCATTAACTTAAAAATAAAAAATAGCAAAAACAATTTATTACTATATACTCTTCTGACATTCATAAATGCCACTGATTTATACACTTCTATATTTTTATTATTATAGAAGACATACTGAAAACCTAAAAAGACATTTATCATACTTCTGTCATCTTTGGATGAAAGATAATGAAGTTAAATCCTTCATGTCCCACAAATTTGATTGGGTGTGGGATGAGGCAGATCAGGATCATTGATGCTATATCTAAAATCTTTTCTCCCAAGCATACTTCAGGTTATTGTAAATTTTTTACAAGTACATAGGAGCCTAAATGGGTGAATTGGTATTAGTATCTCAGTTTTTGGACCAGTCAAGTGATGATTCATGTTTAAAAAATTCTAAACATCATGGGAGCTGGGAATTTCAATGACTTATGTTTTGAAACTCATTGGCTATGCAATGAATGATTGGATTGGCATCAATTGGCTGTTTAACCCCTTCACTGGCATGTTTTCAGACACTAATTATTTTTGAGACAAGACCAGCTCATCTGCAGCAATGAAGGGATTAAAGGGATTTTGCTTACTTCATATTTTACAATATTCAACTTTCTTGACCATTAAATCTTTTCATTGTGAAATTGGAAAATCAGATCACTAACTGCATAAAATTATCTACACAAATCAAAACTTATTGAAATGATTTTGGCTTAACATGGCATGGACTACACACCCTCTCCATGTGCCTGGTTTCTACATATGAATAAATTCATTACATGAACTGTACTGATGATGCCATACCACATCCACCCATTTCTTGCTATGTCAGGTATTGCCAAAATGCAAAATCATGATAACCCATGTTAATTTTGCCATATGCACTTTTCAATATAACAGAGGTCCAAGCCAAATCTGTGCAAATAAAATATAAGAATTTTTTATGGAAATTTTTGAAGAAAAAGACCCTCTGAAACTGTAATCCTATGAGGATTTGAGGATAATCATCAGCATTTTTATATTCTTGAATGATCAAGAGACTTGAAATATTTCACCAGATGACAAGTTTGTGACTGCCCTATAAACTGCCTGCAAAAAAAATACCAAAACTTGCTTAACCAGTTCATGATCAGTTTTTCGGAAACCTCCCTGGAGGACAACTGATATTTCAGTGTGTAACCATGAAAGGGTTAATCTCCAGCCATTGTTGCTTGCTAAGAGATATTGTTTGTGGATTGCATGCTATGAATTGGTCAAAAGTTTTCCTCCTTTCCACCATGACTCTAGTACCCAAGGTCTACTGGCTGCAACATACCTTATGAGCTGCAGTCTCTCGTGCTTTTTTTTTATTGGCTGCAGTCCCCTCCACTGAAAAATGTTGTGGCCAGTCAAACACATAGGTGCAAGTCCATTGCTGAGAAGCTTGATCTTGCTCATACAAAAGCCTTGGGGCAAACTGACGATTTTGGCGATGTTGAACCACTTGCTGATAAATGTTATGGAGCTGACTAACTGGAGATACAAGACTGTAAGAGTCAGTGGACTCTCTCTTGGTGGCTGAAATTTAAGAGGGACACAACAGCTCCAGAACAATGGAATCAATAGATAAATATGGCACTTCTCTAATCCTACTGCTTCCTCAAAAAAGTCATTCTAATTTTAGCAAGTTTGCAAGACAAGGTGGAATAAGCGTGCATCTGATTTAAAGTAGTTCATCTTCAAAAGAATACCGGTACATGATCTTTTGCCTGACATTAATTACAATCACTGCTCATGAGATTCATTAATAAAGACTTCTGATGCCATGAAGTATATGAGTTAATATTTCTTGTAAAGCATCTAGGTGAATAACCACTTGATCTAGGAAAAAATTTAATACATTTGTCTATAGGTCCCTATGTAGAACAATTATATCCTTGAAAACAAGACTGAATTTTTCATTTCCTGTCCTCATTGAATCATGATTATCTCTGTTTCAAGGTGGGATAACATATGGCATCAAAAATACTCAGCAGTATCATTAGAAAAACATAATATATAATGTACATTTCGTTTCAAAAAACTATATAAGAATATTTTTTCAAGAGTGAAAACTAACAAAATGACCCCACAAGAAAACACAAGTAAATGACCCCACAAGTAACAACTACTTTATAAGTCATGATAATGCTGAATGCAACTCACAAGAATTACTTTTCTGCTTCGCAGTGTGTAGGCCTGGTATCAGTCGGTTTGGCGATGCAGCATTGGAAAATGCTTGAAGGTGCAGAACTATAGGCTTAATGATGGTTCCACTAGACAATAAATTACTCCTGATAAGCCTTGGCTTACATTTAGTAAAACATGCCTCTTGAACAAAATATCTCAACATCCAACAAGTCCTCATCTACATGAAAGATCAAATCTCCTTTCAGGTTCTGAGGTTCACAGCAGTTGGAGGAATAGGCTTATTCAAAGGCATGTTCCACACTCATAGCACAAATACACCATTAAAAAAACCACTAAGCACTCAGGCATCAGTGGACAGGATGGACCTTTTATCTTTCCTTGATCTTACAGTTAATACTCCTGGAAGAGTTCTAAAGCATTGAATACCAACTCAAAGATGAAGAGAGCCTCAAAAACCAACAGAACTCACTCTGAAAACAGCATGCATTCATAATCAATGAAGGGAAAATAAATGAACTTGATCCATAGCAGAATCTTGGGGATTCCTCAGTTTATTTTCTGATTGGAATATTTGAGATTCATATGAAAGGAATGCACCAAACATTTATTCAGCTGAGTTCAAAATTACTTCATTTCTCTTTGCTCTTCCCAATTACCACCTTCATGCAATAATATCATCCAGTTATTTGCAAATGAACTTGAACCAACTTTATATTGGCTTAATGCTTCTGTGATTAGAGAAGTCCTTTCATCTCCTTGGATGCAGCATAGAAATAATAGAAATAGGCCTAACATGGTTAAGAGTGATGGGTTAAAAATTCATCTGTAACTTCTGTGGTGAAACTATTGCATGACTTCCTGCTAGTCTCTGGCATATTCAACTTGTGTCTTTGTCCTGGTGAGGGTTTTGAAACAAAAGGGCCAAGTCATGAATAAGTATCACTTGGTATTTTCAGAAAATCATTTTGCTTGAAAATATTAACCTCTTTATGCAGAAGCCACATGTATTGGACATTAAGCAAGTGACACATGTTCATAATGAGGCCTCTTGCAAATCCCTTACACCTCAGCAACTTCTGGCAAAAAGCATTGATTTATTTAGCAGCAATGTAGACGAAACCATGAATTCCCCTGAAATTACCTGTTTGTAAACATATGGGTACAATCTTTAAAGGTCAATCAGAGAATCTGATGCTTCAAGACCCTTCTGAGTATAGATTTTTGAGATTGCTTTTAGAACATTTTGAAACAGTTCTCTGACCTCACATATTTTAACACCAACCTCTTCTTAATTTGCTGTATTCTTATCCATCTTACTTTCAGGTCATCATCCTGGCTGTAGGTAGACACACAATAGTGAGATTTTGGTTGCAAATGTAGAATTCAATACTCTATTCAGATATGAAGCCTACTTTGGTTCACTGTCATAGTTCTGCTATAGTACCTCATTAACCCACAGGTTTCAGAAGTCACAGTTGAAATCATGGATAAATGAGGATCACAAATTATTGATAACATCCTTCTAGTGCTTTTGAATAAATACAATACGTTAATCCACTGTTCCAAACCTGGTTTCTGAAACTTGTGGATTTATAGAAATTGTACAGAAATGGGGCTCTGGTTTTGTGGCACCATGTACTTCATTATGTGGGTAATTTAGAGTGAAATTTCCATAGTTTCCACGTGCATGAGGGCTATGGATTCAACGTTGGCCAGGAGCTCACATTTCTCCTGCCATGAGGAGTTCTCCAGTAACCATAAGGCCTCTGTATTGGCCTAGTTTGGGTCTGGAAATTTTTTAAGCATCAGCCTAAGCATACATAAACCTATAAAGCACCAACAAGCTTATATATAGCCTACAAGTGAGGATCATAGTCAATGGACCTGTCCACAGAATACTCCTCAACAGAGCCATAGTTTTCTCAACTAAAGTTAGTCTTTACACACTGACTCGGCTAATGCACCACTTTCACCTGAGCTTCAATGGTCCAAAGTTGGCCTTTTCCGGTAGGGCTAGTGCTCTGATGTACCTCACAAACGTAGCGTGAATGGGAAAAGTTGGGGGGCACAGGAACTCAGACACTATTATCATGGATTTCATGAGTCGTTTCCTTCTTTTTCTTTGCTTCTTACCTTTTTAGACAAGTGGGGGGGGGGGCACGTGCCAACCAGACGCTACGCCGCTGCTGAGGGTGTATCATTGGATGCCTCAGAGTCTCATATTAAGCTAACCACATGTTAACCAAGAGTCTGAGACTACCGTTATTCAACGTAACAACTGATCTAGATTTCAAGCTAAAGGCCTGCGCCAACCATACCGTCATCATAAAAATATTCTATCGTATCAAGGAATCCACTACTAAGTGGCGTGGGGAACACGTGCTCTCCCATGATCATGCTCACCATCGCCACATTGGTTGCATGCTTGAGTTCTCCATGCAACCACAGATGGTACTCACAGTCCACTCCAGAGCAAAAGTTATTTCTGGGGCACCTATTTATTTGAGATGTGTGAAATATCTACTCTTTGCACATATCTGAAATGTCTTGGATTCCTCCAGATTTTGAAGTTTGATTCCTTTTCTTTCCCAGTGAAAGTGTCTCCCAATGAGAGCAGAGACGGTCATCGGTGGAAGATTTGCGACAGAAAGGCTACCAAGAGAAAGAGCCTCACGAATGCACCATTATACTCTGGAACTCCGGGTAACTGTACCTCCCGTTTAAACTTCCCCTTCCCCCCCCCTTCCCCTAAAACCTCACCGAACTAAGTTGCAATCCCAGATCCCTTGGACGGCTCAATTTGGACCAATTTGGACTGCAGATACCTTATCCGGGTACGGCCTTCACAGCCAAGTTCTTCAACCTCCTCAGACCTGGGAGGCATGTACACGTGCCAAATCCTATAAATTTTATTATTTCTGTGCTGAGCATATTTTAATATGCAGTTATAGCAGATGTAGAATTTGCATATTGGAAAATGAAATAATTTGGGCAAGTAGCTCCCAAACCGCTTGGCGCCGTACCAACCACTGCTACGGAGGGGTTATAATAATTTGAGCAGTTTTGAATATTTTCCCTTATATGTCCTATTTCTTTGTCTGAGGTCGTTAACCCCCAATGTAAGTTAACGCTCGACACCTAGAAAAATGAATGCTACTTGCTCGGAGGCCTCCCTTCTCTAACATCCCGAAGCTTCCACAAAATAATGAGACCCGAATGCTGAAACCTCCTTTAGTTAGCGGCCCTTTAAGAATACTTGAACTCCTGTGGGGGAAAAGGAGCTCTTTAGCTTTAAGGCCCCTTTATCTCTCCTAAATGAGGTTTGTGCATTCGGGCCTATGTCTTGACTTGACTGATTTCGAACCCAGCTTCCCAGGAAGTCAAACTCGCTGCCAAGCAAGCCATGAGGTGAAGCTCTTCAGGAAAATTCATTTCAGAAAAGCTGAAAAATGTCCTTGCCTTTCTGGTTTACCCAACAGTAGCCCAAGATGATATGCTTTCGAGACTAGTCCATAAATTCAACTTCCTGCTGCAGAGTATTTCTGTCACCCAGTATATACAGTATAATTCTCGCACCCCTGACTTAACGAGATCCATTGGCCATTACCAAAGGGCTTCTGGGTGTTCTAGGGTTTAATAATAACTTGATTTGATTTTTTTGCAGTTCTTCCGTCTTCTCCGCTTTGGCCTTTTCCACCATGTCGACGATAAATCGATAAGGATAAGATCTCAGGTGATGACTATCGTCATCATGCTTGACAAAAAAGCAAGCAGATATATCATAAACCCATTTCCATCCAGTGATTCGAGTCGAGCACTTGTTAAGCATCCTAAGAAAGAAGATAGTCTGCCTTCTAAATCCATTCTCCCCAGCTCTGACTTGCATGCGCTTTTCAAGTTGAGAATTTCCTTCCCCTCTTCTCATGTTTCTCAGATTAAATAAATCCATCAGTATTTTAAATTCAATATCATCATACTGGGACGGTAATATTTCCATCAATTAGGGGTAAAAGCCCATTTCGGAGTACAATGGGCTCGTGCGTACTTTCTAATTTCCAGTAGAATCCTCAATGTTTTTCTACCAACTACCATATAATGTAATAACTGGGTTCTATCACTTCTTCGAGCAATTAAAAGGAATACAAAAGGGTCATTTAGTTGCTCGATACTATCCTGAATCGTATTATACCTGGTCGCAGTCAAAACTGCATTTTCATTGCATCTGACAGAGGGGTGAGAACTCATTTTGTGCTAAATAACCTTAACGTATGTTATTCCTGCTACGAGCGAATGAAGTTTCTTTTCCCCAAACGAGTTGGTTCCGCTGCCATTGATTCGCAACGGCCCGTACCTCAAAGAGTGCTTCCAGAAAAAGTCCACACAGGAACACGTGGCTTAACGCCTTCCGACATTACTTTTAGATCTTTGTTACTTTTTTGAGTCGGGGAAGAAGAGGGCATGTTAGAAGTTCAGCCACAGTTAGAAAATCTGGAAATGGCGTTTAGCAAAAAGATAAAGCAATGAATAAGTTGCGTTGGGAAGGAAAGGGTTGGGTTTGAAAAGAAGACCTCCCGCACCGCCCAGTGTTTTCTTCAGAATAAAATATATCCCTGGTTTTCCGGTAATTTCCTTCTTTGCACTCCTTCAACATTGTTTCTTCGCTTGCCACACAATTTCACAGCTGTCTGACTGTGAATGAACTAAAATATTTCTCCACTTTCCCGTAAAAAGAAAGTCTCATTGTGACCTGGAAGTTGCCAGTCGGGAGTTTGGCAACCTACCCATGCGTTCACGAAGGTTTTCCCGAAGCGCTGCATGGGGTCCCATGTCGCTTCAAGTCTATAACAGCCGAACCAGTTCCTTTAATAATATTAATAATAGATGAAATTTCATACATGTGTAACAGGAATAGCACAATTTTCGGTTACGCCGCGCAAACCGAGACCACAACTCACCGTCTGATGTGTCGAGAGGGCTGAGAATGTTGGATTTTGACTGGACCACCCGATTAAAAGTAGAGCAGCAAAGTTCAGTAGAGCAGCAAAGGGCCAGAACAATAAAGGAGATCGCTCTGGGCCTACATCATATCACTTCTGTTCATTTCATCATTCCTTTGTGCCAAAACCGAGAACAGCGTCCTAATATTGAGGGAGAAAATGTGTTTTTTCTTTGCTTCGAAAAGTGTGTGTGCAGCAAGTTGTCGAAGCTAGAAGCCATGAGCTCTGTCGAGCACCATGCTGCTGTGAATTCATGGGCTTTAAATCCGCTACCAAGCACTTCAGTGAAGCAGGTAAAGTTGGGAGGGGCTCCTTAATGACGTGCATTTGGCTCCATTTCAGGGATGAAGGCAGCCATTGGAAAGGATCCAAGTCGGGGATAGAAAGGGAGAGGTAGAAATATGACCTCATCATTAGCAAAGGAGATTTCAGTTCATAAATCAAAAGAAAAAGTATAGTTCATAATGGAAACGAGCGGGGAGGTGAAACCGACTCTTTCCAGAGAATCGGTCGGGGGGGATTCTTTCAACCGGGAAAGATCTCATCGATTTCTCCCAAACTGAGGCCATTTCTCTCTTCCAATTTACATTCTCTAGTCGGTTGATTCATCTGCGTCCTTTCTTCCTTTCTTGGGATATGCTTCTCTCTTCCTTACTGCGTATAATCGCAATGTAGGTGCGTCACTCGGAAAATTTGCTGGAGACTTGAATGAGGGGAAGTTCACTGCGTTCGTTGCGCGTCCTTCATTCCAGGGCGAAAGTCTTCCGTTTTCTCCTCTCTTAGTCACATTAGGGCAATTTCAGAAACGTCCAGAGGCTGTGCTAGACCGTCTCGGACTTTATCGGAAAAATTTGTACTCTTTGGCATTGTGTGGAATAATATAACCGTAAAAATTTTAGTTTCATTGATCTAATCGTTCTCGAAACATCGACAACAGTCAAAGTTATGAAAAAATGGCCGAAAAAAAGTGATGCAATTGAACAAAATACATAGCTTCCCAATTACTGCACAGCCTGCAGTTAAAGTGAGGCTTGAAAAGAGCTTTCCAATTATATGAAAATATAATATTACAATTTTTACATTTATTTATTTAAAATTTTCGCAAATTCTCCATGTTTTCAGTTACCATTACCCGATGTAGGGGGCTTATTTAAAAAAATAACAATTTGTGGACTTCGTAGTTCTCGGCTCTGAAAGAGGCAATTTAGTTTGAATTGTTACTTTAATCCCGACCTTCAGAAATATTGAATTGAAGTCGGCAAGTTAGTCATTTAAGGTCAACATAACCTGAGTTTTGTCCATGTGAGGTTCAAGTTACACTGTTGATCCTGACTTACTTGAAATGCTCATTTCTTTTTTTTTCCATTGATATTGGTTTCATCGTGTTACTCGAAGCTATTGAAACTTTTTTTTTTCCCGAAATGGCTGAGGAAGAGAATCTTTAGTCTTGGCTGATCGAAAAAGTGGTAGAACGTTATCATAATTTAGAGAAAAATATTGTTCGAATACACCTGTATGTGGAAACCCACATGCAAAGTTCATACACACGCTACATAAAATAGCCATATATTTTAATATGTACTGTAGTTCTTTTATATTGGGTGCCATGGAGATTTTATGTGAGTTTTCGCATGAAACAGAAGAACAAAAGAAAGTACCATTAGACTCGTTTTGGAGGGGGCGGGGGTGCTCTTAGGTTTGATCTAGAGCTGAAAATGCTAAATGTACTCATTTAAAACACAGACTGACCTGGAGTAAAAACTAGCTTCGTCAATAATGAGGTCCTGAAGAACTTGCCTCGGAATATTGTTGTGAGTCTGCAGGCCTATACTGTTGATTATCTGGAAATAATTATTGATCTATAACATGCAACACCGAGCTAAAGCAAAAAAATTAGGAAATGGGTTATGAAAAATGGTCGTGTAGGTGAATTTGCTCCAGAGTGATCATGAACTTTTTGGGGATCTTTACTTAGCCACAACATAAAGTATTGAAAAGTACTCAGTAAGGAAAAATCCAATTCCCCCCCTATAGCAGAAACTACCCAACTGAGATCGATAAAGAAGGTAGAGATGAGCTTGACTGGCCTTGGCAGTGTGCCATTCGGGGTTCTCGAATGCCGAATCCCTTGTACTGGCGTTGCTTAATGTACTTTTCATGGCACTCAAAACAGATCCAAACAAGTGCGCCAGGCGTGGACTCCGTCAGAAACATTTGGAAGCTTTTTGTGACTGCGTATGATTAGCTGACAAGACTTGCTTTGAAGGAAAAAAAAAGGAAGAAATTGGAGTCGATGCCAGTTGACGTGAGACAGCAAGGACTGGGAT